AATAATAAAATTGTGTTATTAGTAAAAAAGGATTGAAATTAAGTTCAATAAGAACAAAAGGCATGTACCAAAAAGAATATTGGGACCAAATATTCAATGGACAATGTGAATCCTAATAATTTGCTTATTGCAAAGAACATTAAGAGAGTTGGAATTAATGAGGCACCAAATTTCTTAAAGAGAACTAAACAGAATAAGATAATGTAAAGAGCAACAAATAAACAATCAGCTTGAAGAGAAGTAAGACTATAATAAGATGTAATAAATGAAACACAAGACTGAGAAACAAGAACAATTGAAATATAGTAAACTGGTGCAAGTGGAATTAATTCTATTTGAAGAAGTCCATTAAAGAAGAAAACTAAGACAACAACAGTTCCAATAAATACTTGGATAGAAGTTAAGAATGAAGTTTGTAAGGCATAAACGGTTGTTAATGGGAGTCCAATAATGGTCAGAATAATTATAGGCACATAAATGCAAGAAAAAAGTTGTAATTTTTTGTTCAACAAACTGTAACTAAAGACAATTAAAAGAATAGCTGGAAATTCATAGTTATCAATTGCAGTAATCCAAGAAATCACATAAGGTTGAATAATTGGGAATGCAGATGCTAATAATGTAAAGAATGAAAGTATTTGTTTTGAAATAACAAGAAGTGGTTGTTTACTTGAATTAATAATAATCTGCAATACACCAGAAATTGGTAAAGCAAATTCACTTGTTTGAAGAGTTAATACAGTAATATGGAAAATAGTTGTTACTATAATTAACAAGAAAGTTAAAATGAATGATTTTTTGAATATAGACAATAATAAACAAATCAAAACAGCACATAAACTTGATATTACCTACCATATTACATTTATGTTTAAAAAAGACATAAAGAATAATAATAACAAACACTAGTATAATTTCCTTTTAACTGGTCTATTTGAAGAAAGTTTAAAACATGAAAAGTGTCAGCTTTTGCTTTCATTAATAGAGCAAATTCATCCTTTTGTTGGTATCTAATGGAATGTTTCATTACAACATAAAGCAATACAAAACCAATAATTGTATTAAAGATATTGGACAATCTCATTGCTGTTAATTGATTATTTTAAGATATTTTCTCAGTTCATGTTTCTTTTAAAAAAATCAAAGGAATAAATTAATAAATTCTAAATCCTATCAACTCATCACTTTACACCATGTCAGAACATCTTCTGTTTCTGTGGCAAAAAGAAGAGATAAAATTTATGAGGTTAAAGCGAATCAATCCATTTAGTCATTGTTGAATGAAGTGAAGAAAAGTCTTCTTCAAAGAGCATATGATTTTGGTTTGGGATCAAAACAAATAGACTTTTAGAATCGTGAAAGTAGTGGGATTTTGTCAAAGCTCCTTTAGGATTTACTATTGAATCACAAGATGATTGAATTAGAAGGAATGGGACATGTTCAGATTTACGAATATCTTCAATACCAACACGAACCATTTCTAGACACACGTGAAGGTTATTTGATTTTAGTAAATAAGGGTCTTTAAAAAACTTTGAAGCAACTTCTTTATTATTAAAGAGAGATTCGTTAATATAATGAACTGTAAAAGAAGGAAAGAAGAAAGCAAAGACTAAGGCAAAGTAATAAAAAATATAAACATACCAAACATTAATCCAATATGGTGGATTAATAGAAATAATGGCATTGTACAGTTGTGATGCTTTTTCATCAGATGCAATTCTACTAACAATTAACCCTCCAATAGAAAATCCAATAAGATAAAGTGGAAGTTGTTCAGAAATAAATACATCACTTTTTTGTATCAACTTTGAAAATTCTTTTACAATCATTTCATAGTCTTCAAAAAGTGGTATATACCCACGAGTACCACTTGACCTTCCATGACCTGGTAAGTCAATGAAATAAACATTAAACCCTTGTTCATTAAAGTATTTTCCAGTCATTAAATTAATTCCTGAATGTTCAGTATATCCATGAATAAACAAAATGTTACCTTTTGCTGAAGAGACAGAATACAATCTTGAGAAGATTGAATATTTTCCAATTTGATGAGTTGTTTCAGTATATTCAGTTGACATTTTTCAGGAATGGATAACTAAAAAGAGTTTTGATATAAAAAAAAATTTATTATTTTGTTTCAAAGCAACTTATTTTTATAAAGAAGACTTGGTTATTTCCAACAACAGTAAATGCTATTTCTCCTTCAAAAGCATCAATTCCTAAAGGATTACCATCTATTCCTATATCTTTTAGTTTTAGTTGACCAGAATATTGATTATTTTTAAATTGAAGTATTCTACCATTACCCGTATCACTAACATAAACTTCATCATTAAAACAAGCCAAATGTGTAGGGCGAAGGAACTTATCTTCTTCTTTTTTATTTCCTAAGACATCAACTTCTTTTCCAGTTTTAGCGTCAATAATAATAACATTACTTTTCCATTCATCTACAATAAGTAATTGATCTTTATAATTCATTCTAACACAAGAAGGATATAAAGTATTTTCTGTAATTGATTTTTCATATCTTCCTTGAAGATCAAATTGTTGAATTCTATGATTTAAACTATCACAAACAAATAATCTATTCTTTTTAATTTCAATACTCGTTGGTTCATTAAATTTACCACTTTCACTACCAAACCCACCAAAGTCTAATGTTCTTTTAAGATTTGAATCATAATAAGAAATAGTATTACTTCCTTTATCTGCACTATAATATTTATCATGACAAATTGCAATATCACAAGCAATATGATTATCAATTAAATTACCACAACTTCTTATTATTTCAGGATTCTGAGATCTATCAAATTCAATCATTTTAACAGTATGATTTGCTTGATCACCTACAATATATCTTGAAGTTGAAATTATTTTAACAAAATTAAGTTGTGGTTCAAAATATTCATTAATTTGTTTTTCTATTTGATGTTTAATTAAATCATTTGGATTTGATAATAAATAATCTTTTGTTAATGGAAAATCTGTCAAAGTTTGAAGTGACACTGGAATATCAGGTAAATCAAATTCATATTTTTTTGTTATAATTTCTTCATTACAATGATTTGTTACGATACATTCAAATGTTTTTGTTTTATATTGAAATTGTTGAGAATGAAAAGTATTATATGTACATTCATATTCAAATAAATCAGCTTCTATTTCATAATATCGTTTATATATTTCTTTAATAAATTGATTTAATTTAATTAATTGTGAATTACATTGTGGAATAAAAATTGATGCACTTTGTATATATTTTTGATGTTGTTTTACTGATTGAAGAAATTTTTCTAATATATCAATAATACTTTCAACTTTATATATCATTTGTTTATAATACAATTTTTGTGAATTTAATGCCCATTTTGTTTGTTCAAGAAATCGATCAAGACGTTTGAGGTACAACCCTCTCTTTACTGTTTTTACATCTTGCATCGTTAATTATTCTTTTTTAATTTTAAAACTAAAATAAAAAATTTTTTAGATTTATTCAAATTACGTTTTTTATAACATTAAATATTTTCTTTATTTTTTTTTTATTCTTAGTTGTATTTTTATTGTTTTTTTTTTAATCTAAATTAATTTATTTTGTTTCTTTCTTCTTTTTATTCATATTCTTATTTGAATGTTTTATTATTATTTGAATGTTTTTTTAGTCATTTTGCATTTTTATCTTTTTAACTTTATGTAATTTCATTAATTTTAAATAATTAGTTTTATTATAAAACACTGGGTTTATCCTAAATTTCTACTTTCTGTTAGAACATTTTTCTTTAATAGTTTAATTAAAAGTCTCATCGTATTAGTTGACTTACGACAATTGTAGTGGTATTAAGTACTGTTTTTTATTCATCATTTTAATAAGTTATAATTCATTTCTTTGAAAAGTTTAGAAGTAATTTACAAAGAAAAATATTATTAGTTTTGAGTTAATGGTGGATTGGAACTATCATTTCAAGAATTAATAAAAATTGAATAAATAAAAGAAAAAATAATAATAATTTGAAAGAATAAGAAATAAAAATCAAAAAAA